CGGAAAAGCTGACGAAAAAAAACCGGTTTCAGTAAAAGACTCGCCGAAAATAGCTAAGCAGCTGAAGGTCCAGCGGAAGAAGCCATTAACCGGAAATCATAGGGTACATGGAAAGTCGGATGAAAGTTCGGATGACAAGTACGATTCGGCCGAAGAAAGCAGCGACAATGATGGTTGCTCGGGGGAAACGACCGTTGAAGAGTCAGATGAAGAATCGGATTACGAAACGGAGGAAGATCCAGAGCCATCGAAAGATGAGCCACGACATAGGAAGAAAACGGTAGCCCCACACGGGCAGGGGCACCAGCCGGTCGGACCAACAAAAGCTCAGTTGGCAGCGCGAAATGGGATTCTAAGAAGCTTCCTATTTTCACCGGGAGACTCGAAGAGTGGCCGCTGTTTGTCGGGAGTTACGCAGCCTCCAATGCAGCTTGTGGCTTCAACGATGTTGAGAACTTGGTGCGCTTGCAGAATAGCCTGAAGGGTCCCGCGTTGAAGAGCGTTCGGGGGCAATTGTTGATGTCGAAGTCAGTACCGAAGGTGATGGGCAAACTCCGTCAACTCTACGGACGCCCAGAGCAGCTGTTACATTGTCACCTGGAAAAAAATAAAGCGGCTAGATGCTCTGAAAGCAGACAAATTGGAGACGTATAATTGCTGATTGTGACGCACTGAAAGCATAATTGCTGATTGTGACGCACTGAAAGCAATAATGACAGATTGTATGTGTTAAACACATACTTAACGACCTCTTCGTGTAACTTACAAGTACTAATTATCATTATAAAATCTAATGATTTCATAATTCTGAAAAACATTTATTTTTATAGCAAATTAGTGGAAGTAACCCTGTCGTCAAGGATGTGACGAATGGTTCCGTTTTCATGCCACAACTGCAAATCGCTTACCAAATCATGGCCTTCTTCGCGAACTTGTCGGCAAACACGAACTTGAATCTTCACGGCACATCCTCACATCCAGTTGCGATGTAAAACATTTGACCGGGAAGCTGCTTAAAATCGAGTTTGACGTATGGTTCGTCATCGATCAAAGTGCAGCCCTTGTGTTTCGTCAAAGCACGGTCGTACAAGAGCCTTGCACGCTTTTTGACCACGGAATTCTGCTTCATGTGCCGATTCGGATGTCTACGGGCTTTGTACAACTTGTTTCCTTCCCTGGAAAGGATGTTCCGCACCGTTTGAAAGTTGGCATTGCACCTTCTGGCCACATCTCGGATCGAAAGACGTAGCTGACGATCCCTGGTTCCAGTTTTTTTTTCATAAGGCCGCTGATTCCTTTCCACACGCAGGGTTTCCTTGTCGGTCTCGAGCACTCGACAAACTGTTGTTTTCGGCATCTTCAGCACTTTAGCCAGCCTGGAACCGGACCACTCCGGATTTTCCAGGTGTTTGTGCACAATATTTTTTCTTCTTTCGAGTTCCATTTGACGTTATTTCTGAACGCGATCGACTACTCTGATCAAGCTTGCTCCAGTTGTTCTCTACAGAAGTGTAAACAAACCTCTATCAAAGATTTTCGATTCCCAACACTTGAGGCGTGCTAGCGGCGCGCGAGGGCCATACCAATTTACTTTTAGTCAGCCTTTAGAGGCAAAACGGGCCGGATCCGTCGGTTTCTGTGACGGTTCTGGCCCGTTTTGCTTTTAATGAAACAGTCAATTTCATTTATGCAATAAACGTTATTGTGTCATAAAAATAATCCTAAACAATATCAATAAAGGAATTACTCGTGCATTAACTTCAAGATCAAATAAAACTGAATAGTCTCATAGATGGTATTTATGATTCAAAACAAATCATAGTTATGTGTGAGATACACAAGCATTCATGTTGTGTTATACGTTATATAAATTTTCAAACATTGGCGTTGATGGCGACTCTCAGAGTCGGACTCTGTAGCTATTTAAGGCCCAAACGCAATGTGGACGGAAGCGGAACGGAAACGGAAAGTTTGACAGTTGTCACAAATGACATCAAGAAGCCTAACCGATGTCGATTTGGTTCTAACTAGTTTTCAATCCGACAAGTAGGCTTCCTCGGATCGGGCTTTTCCGCTGCCGCTGCCGTTCCGCTTCCGCTGTCATTGCGCTTGGGCCTTTACTCCTATGGTAAAATCCATAAGCAAACCTCAGACTGTGCGTGAAACATGGCGGACTTCGTACTATCAACAATCAATACGAAACTAACGATTTTAAATTGGCTCACCACTTTAGTAGCCTATTGGTCCCAAGAAAACAATTAACGTACCCTATTCTAGTTGAAATTCTATTACTACACTATGTTTGTTTTGATTCGCTATGAAAGTTGGACAGATAACATCAGGGGTGTGTGGATTTTTGCAGAACATGCAGGGGTGAGTGAAATAGCTTGGGACTGCTTGGGACCGTTGTTCTGGTACTGAGTGAGCCAAAAATAATAATGATTTTCTTCGGAACCCAGTGGTCTTAGAGTTACCTCTATGGTACTATCCTTTCACTCCACCGAAAAATCCAATAAGATTTGTAAATTGAAAATGTAAATTTTTTCTAGAAGAGACGATTTTTCCACGGTGCCGTCAACGCCAATAGGCAAAACAATAATGTGTGAACCAAATTGAATTTTTGAGTGTACCCATTTAAGGTATAGTCGCTATATTAGGAATATAGCGACTATAATTTAAGGTATCGGACTATTCGTTTCTGCTCGGGGTCTATATGTCAAAGACGAATCACCCCTCGGCGAAATTATAGCAAGCGTAAAAAGTTGGATGAGATCGAGATGATAGAAGAGATCATTGATTATATCTTAATTGGGTTTTGAAAACGCATGAAAATCGACGGACGGCTGAAGCGAGATAATAATGCTCCACGTCAGAAACACGCAAATTAAATTACTGACACCTGATTCAACCAATTCTACGCCGATGTTTTCAATTAAAGCTTTTGTTCAAATGCCCGGTTCCTTCTCATCCTGTACTGAATAGGATATAAAGCACTAATTTAATTCCGTACAAAAGCAGCAATCGGAACTGCGTGGACAGGAAATAGTAAGGTCGACCTAGGAGCTGGGGTTGCAAACTTCGACCGTTATAGAGGTACAAATGTAGCGATGATTAAACGGAATCACGATAACATCATCATCATCATCATCATCATCATCATCAACAGCAACAATAACGAGCTCGGTGACACGAATGTGTATACGCTTGGCCTGCTGCGTTGCGTTGTCCCTGTCCAGCCAGCACCTACTTGGACCAAGCCAAACCGGAGGAAGGAAGAGTGTTTTATCAGATCGAATCGAATGCGGGTGTGAATGTGGACGTGGACGACGTCTTCGCTCTCTTTGACACTCTTCTTATCGTGCTTGCAAGCCCGAGGGCGCGAAGGGTGGGGTGATAAATTATATAATTAATTGCTTTATTATCATCAATTATAGATGAATTATTTAATCGGGGGTCTTACTGGTTTCGCACACTCGCAGAATAGCCGTCCCGTCGGTATGCTCTTGTTTCGCCTTTTAAAGACTAGGATGAGCTCACATGAAAACAGCAGAGTGCTGCATTGTTTCAGAAGCACCACAGCAACAGGGTGCTATAGCTTCGCAAGAATCCCTATAATTACAAGCAAAGCAGCCCACCCAAATGCGACATAAACTCCACCATAAGCTACTGTCGTTCGCACCGTAAACAACCCCTTTCTGGATGGCATAAAGCATGAAAATAACTGCGAAAAAGGTCATGGCCAACTGGTGTGGCCGGTCTCCGATTATGGATCGGATCACGGTCAGTACACTCCTAATCATCCCCCAGCGGAGAGACTATGGCAATCCATCCATCCACCCACCTACCCACGTATTTATGCATGAGAACATAAAAGCGTCACCGGAAAAGCGAACCGACCGGAAAGGGACACGCTTTCTTTTTTTCTGCTCCTCTTGGGTACTGTCTATCGACTTCCAAAATCCAAAGTGGTCGGTTGGCGGGCGGATGGGCGGGTTAATGCTGCTCTGCAGCTCACACAAGTGGGTATCCGGTGTTCGATTTTCATCGTGCTGCTTCTCTGCTATTCAGCAGGCCGCTTTATTCGAACATCGAAATCAGATGTTCTTGCCGAGCTGCAATAGCAGCGAGCTTCAATGTTATTGTTGTTGTCTAGTTGAAGGCGATTTCGGTGCCGCGGTGCAGTGCGCAAGCTCCGGGTTGGCGTCTTTTGGGGGTGTTTGAATTAACAGTGTACCCGAAGAGAGAGAGGGAGAGGGAGAGAATGACGTTTCGTTCGGTTGCTCTCTCCGAGAGCGTGAGATCGGGAGCGGAAAAATTCAAATGAGCGCGACGGGCGGGCGGGCGAACAGCTGAGTAGCGGACGGTCGCTGGGTGATGATGGGTGGTGGGTGTTTTGAGAGCATGGATTGCTTCGATCCGAAGAGCATTAATTTGTAATGTGGATGTTTATTTTTCTCGTTCGCTTCCGTTTATTTTGATACAATAGCATAGAAACAGCAGCGCATGCTGCGAGAGATGAGCGGATGGTGGTGGATGGTGGTAGCATGTAGCGAATCATAACATTGACGGCTAATCGAGAACAGTTCGGCTTGGACACAATGGTCTCGATATGATTTCATGTGTTGAAAAATAAAATTAATCGATATTTTGTTTTGATTGTATCGACATTTGTTTTGACAGTTGATTAGCCGTTTCAATAGCAACCTGTAAACATGGCCTACTATGATGGTAATATCCGTCAAACTTTAACGCTAAGAACAACCGTGATTCTCGCTTGCACGCTCTCGCTCACCGCGTGATCTTCTCACGTGTGTTGCCTGGCTCCGCCGTTGATGCTCTTTACCGCTGCTGCGAGGGATAGGAATCTGTACCGTTTTTCTCCGGGACCGAACCGGAGGAGGATGCGACACGATTCCGACGATGCTAGGAGGCAGCAGCAGCAGCAGCATCTGATGGTCGGTCGTCGTGCGTGGAGCCAGTTTTTCACTTGCCCTCGTCCGGTACGGTCGCTAACCGTGATTCCGTCGTGACTCGTGGTGCCTCGTCTTCGAGTGTGAATCCCTTTCCCGTGAGCAAGCAGAGGCGTTAGGAAAGGTGTTGTCTTAAAATATCATTATTAGAAGTTGGTCCAGCGCTCTCATCGCCTGCATGTATGCAAAGGATAATCACCACCCCCTGGTTTCGATTTGAGTGCCATCGATTCGTGACCTGAAGGCACGGATTATCGCTCGGCGAGGTGTTTGACGTTCGATTTTTCCTCGGATGCTCTGATGCCGCGTAGCGAGTGTGAGAAGATAATGCGAAAATATCGATTCGTAATGGTGTCACTCGTGCGATTCGTACCGTTCTCGTGCTAAATGAACGCGAACCTCCTCCCGATCGGTGACGACTGCTACGACGACGGGGGAACCATGGGAAGAAGAATTGCATAAATTACATAACTTTTCTACCCAAAAACCGGCGAATGGTTCGAATAGTGGTAGGTTATATGTGGCATGGATTACTTTGATTGCGATCCTGGCGCGTGGGTGCGGGAGAGACTCGCCAACCAGCCAACTGGGTTCGAGGTCGAGCAATTGAAGCTCCTCTTCTCGTGTCGTTGCTCGTTGAGTGGAAGATAATTGCTTCTAAGTGAGTTGTAAATTGAACAAAAGCGTTCCAAAAAGTCGACTCAATTTAAGGGAACTGGCGGCTCGGCGATGGTGGAACTGACATGGAAGTGAGTCCACTTTGACTGACACCGGAAAAATTCCATTAGTGATCCACTTAAGACATCGAAGAAAACAAAACAACAACGGTACCAGGGCTTAAGAGAACTGGGTGTGCGGGTGATTGATGGATCGATGACCCTCCCCGCCTCCTATTGTCGATCATTGGTTAGTTAATCGTGAGCGCCAAAGTGAATTGATCCGGCAAGCGGAAAATTAAAGCGAAGCACGTGTTGTGCTCCCAGTAGTGCACTGTTGTTGTTGTTGTTGTTGTCGTTGAAGGAATCCCAGCAGGCGGCGGTGGAGAGTGAGATTGCGAGTGCAGCTGTGAGAAGATTAATGATTTTGATCCACGCTGTCAACGTGGTGCGTTCGTGTGTTAGGAAGCGTGGAGGAGTGTGAAGAAAATTGAAAGCAGGAAAAATCCGTGTAGTGGGAAGCGTTTATGGTAATAATGATGATGTCGGTTGCTGGAGTTGTTTGGAGCCAATAGTTGCCGCGAGGCCAAGAAGAGAAGGAAATCAAAGGGAGTGGAGTGAGAGTGTAACAAAGTATAGGAAGCAGGAAAATAATACGATTATAAATTAAAGCTGCCAGCAGCTGTTTGTGTCAAGTGGAAAACTCGCGCGCTAACCTTCCGCATGCTGGCTGCATGCATGCATGAGGGAATCTGACAGATGTTATTATTGTTGTTTGGTGATGCTTCCGATGATGTCGGTGGCATGTTGCTGTTGTGCGTAAACAGCGAGGTGTAGCCCCGAAGGCAGTGTTCCGTCAAACAAGGACAGGCGCAGCAGGAGCCGAGAAACGGAGGACAGAGAACGGCAAGCGGCTCGTAATGGAAGCTTAAAGTAGGTAGCTCGTGCGAGATAATAACTTTAAACTTTATTGACTGCGGTTGTCAGGTTTAATTGAAATGAACTCATGTCAGTCGGGTTGTGCGGATGGTGGGGTGGTATTAATTCTAGTATAATTTTCAAATGTAATTGCAGGAGTATGTTAATGACGCAGCAGTTTACGGTCTAGGCATTAAATTTATGCTTCACATGATTCATATGATGGCTATGATAATAGCAAGTCAGTTCATCAATTCCAATGTGTCCATTTATTGGATTGTATGTACTGATTTTGGCATCACTCATGTTTGGATTGTTTAGCTTTCCACAATTATCTGATCAGGTCCTATCGGTAAATTGACCTATTATTCAATTCAATTCAATTCAATTTATTTGTCTTTGTTTTAGCAATACATGGGTTCTAATAGTGTACATCATCTAAGGATATGGAGTACCTTTCAACAATTTGATAATTCAAAACAAATATTGCTGATCTACTGAATTATTTCCATTTCACGGATCATTTCTAAGAAGAAGAAGTTCAACCGCAGCGTCAAATTTCTACGAATGAATCGAAATGATCACAGTAGGCTTTGAAATTTTGAAATACCATTTCTCTTTCCAAATCAACAAACGGACGTGTTCTGAAAGGTTGTGCAAATTGTGAACTGTGAAAAATGGAGGAATCAATTTATTTAAATGTGTCTGGAAAGGAACCGACTACGAAGTTTTGAGCAGTGAGGATTCGGAGGATAATTTGCTTGAGGTTAGCGCTTATGAGGTAATGGAATTCAGGATTGAAAAACAAGAACTGTTGCACAAATGTATCAAAATATGTACAGTCAAATTTAGCTCGTTGGGCTATGTTTGGGTGGGCTACGTTTTAGTTGGGCTCCCGTTAGTTGGGCTGTAGCCCACCTAAATCGAAGTCAAACGTCGTTTTTGACAGTGCTATTTCTTTTCCGAGGGGCTCATGTATGAACAATTTGGATAGTTGCTAAAGGATTGTGATGATAACGAAAGTCTTTCACTAAGTGGGCTACAGGTTTAGCCCAACGAGCGAAAGTTGACTGTACTATAAATGTTTTAGTGGCCATCCAAAAAACGAATGCCTAAAGTTGATCAAAAATTACTTTTTTTGTCAAAAATTTCAAGGGCCCGAGGAATAAAGACAACGTTGGAGGGATACAAATTAAAGCTGATACCACGAAGCAAGTGATTGAAAGCATGGACTGCAAGTTTTTACATTGTGAGGTCGCATCAGTACTGGCTATAATCGCATATCAGTCCCATGTGGATTTTCGTCAATTTTGGGATAACAACACTATCCACTATCAATTGGTATCTACTTTCATATTATGTGATAAAACTATGAACTTTGATCATGAAAATATGAAAACAACATCGAGTCAGTTTGTCCCATCAAGCAAAGTAATCGCATATCAGTCCTATCCTGAAATTCAATCGTCCATAGCTCAAGTTAAAGTTCTGCTTTTCGAATTGCCATATTTTTCGCTGATATAATAGAACATGCAAGCTTCATTGTGACAGATTTTAACTTGAAAAAAATATGAATAAATTTACTATGATTTTTCAAATATTTACTTGAGAATTGCACTTCGTAACTTCGACTGCCATTTTCTCAATGACTACTTTTTCGTTATTTTTCACCCTCACTGATCAACTAAAAAGTTCTTCGTGGGTAGTGGGATCGTTAACTAACCGTCATTGTTTACAGGTATATTAATATTATTTTTAAGAGTTCTGAAATGCTGAAGCATTTCCTGTATTAAAAGCAATCTCTACCCGTAACTTCATCACAATGATGGGCAAAGCTTAAATCTAAGCTGTTCGAACCTATTAGTTGTGATCGCTCTGGAGCTCATTCAAATGTCCTGCTGACTGATACCATCATAAAATTAAAGGCAGGTAGGATCTCGGATGGGATCAATTGGTCGATATGGGTCGATTCAGGTTGTTTGAAAATCTATGTGGTTAGGCCATTTGTGATGCTCCTCCTCTGGGTATTATTAAATTATTCAGGCCCAATTAGGTCATAGTTCTTAAATTTCGCAGAAACGATTTGAAATCGGTGCTGCATTATTTCATCAATATCACGTGACAACTGACGTGCTACCTTGATTCTCACTGACGAAACCCCAATAGGCCTTTTTAATGCACGACCAACGTAGAGGGCACGACGCGAGCTCGAGAGAAAACGTCAACCAAACCGTTTGTTTACATCAGAAGAAGGATTTTTCAACGCAAATTAAAGCATTCTTCATTGAACATCTTGCCAATTTCCATCAGTAATTGTCTTATTTTACGTTTTTCTACACATATGAACTGATTTGCATCTAAACTGTTCAAACACAAGAAATCCGGAAGATAATAACCACTAAGACACTATTGGAATTTTGCATTTTTCCCAACAAAATATTCCTGAACACTAACAGAATCCTTGCAAAAATTATACAGAATTAAATTTTTCAACTATAGATCAAGTTTTCGAGCATCTCAGAAGAATCAATTTATCAGGAAAAGTGAAAAAGTGTTCCGCTTCCAATGTCTCACGGCAAAAATTTCTGCTCGCAACACTCTTTTTGACGGTCTCATATTCACCACCAGAGGTTGAATCGATCGCTTAGTTTCTATTAAAAAGGCGTATTGAAATGCTGACTGACAAAATATGATGCGACACGATGTGCGTTGCTTTGCTTCACCAATACACTTTGACAGACAAAGTAGTCCGGTAAATTGTTTGCTACTGGTTTTTTATTGAGCAACATGTTTTTCCTCATCATTTCGGTTGTCGTTTTGTTGTGTAGTGGATATTTAACGTCGAAAACAGTGGTTCCGGGTATCCTCTTCATTAAAGGAAGGATCATCCAAGATGATGCACTTCAATCATATCAAAATTCTCAAGTAATTTTTATGGCCACAGAAGTAAACAAATGCAGTTAAAGCCGCGTAATGTCAGTTCATGCACTGTATTAATGATAATTGTGTCCTTTTTGGCACAATACACCATACACCATATTTTGACACGATTGTAGTGCATCCACTTTGATGTGATATCAAAATTATTTGTTTGTTGTAAGCGAAAGAGTGCTGCAGGATCACCGGCTATGAATATTATTGTGTCATTGATCCCAAAGTGCAGTTGCGCATATTTCCAGATTCTAGGAATTTGTTGCGACACTGCCGGATGAAACATTCAACGGCTGCGGGAGGAAATGTTTTTTTTTTTTAATGGAATCCCTGTCAAAAAGTTGCGAATCATTACTAAGCCTCTCGTTGCTGCCGACAACTGCACATACGTGCATATTTTCAGCACATCGAATAATTAATGAAACGTGTTGCAACACAAAACAACGCACGGTTGAACTGCTTTGAATGGGAAGGTAAAAAATAATGCTCGTTGGATCAACCAAATGCTGTGAATATCCAGATTTCACAGATTGAGCAATCCTTGCTAGGTTCTGCATCACGGCATGGATTCCACGTTCCAACAATCAATTCTCAGTATGAACTCAACGAGGAAAAAAAGGACCATAATCCTGATAAAATAAAACGATAACTGAATAATAACCAGTCCGACAATACTCATTTTTCCAGGATTTAAAGACTATCGTTAACTACGTCAAAGCAACATACATGGACTTTGTTCATGTGGGAGCTCTTTATTATTATTAGTATTATTATAATCCTCCTATTCTAATCACCAAAGTATTTTGATTGCCAATTGGTGATTAGTATCAATTACGCATCGAAAAGCGCTTTAATTCTCTATTGTATTTTTTTTTCTGTTTTCAATAACAAAATTTCAACTAAAACAATGCATAAGGGCCTATTTGCATTGATCGATTCACTTCCTCGACTTTCTCTTTCGTAATAAATTGGCTACAAAAACGCCTCTGGCTGTGTTTGTCTTGTTAATTGCTAGATAATTGCTTCATCGATCAAACCGTTTGTCGAAAATAGCCTGAAACAATTTTACATAGCCGTGGCGATCCAAAGGGTTATTTCCAATCGATTCGTGTATTTGGATTTTAATTTCATCTATAAATGACAAAGTTACAAGCGTTCAAAACCTAACACTATTTCGTCACACATTTTTTTGATTTGTACCTCAGTCAGTATGGTCCACAAAGACGTAGTTCTACGTCAAAAACCACGATAATATACAGCCATTCCATAACAAAATGATATGTCAGAATGTCGTAAAAATTGGTAGTTTTGTTCTTTATCGCAAAATATTAGACCCGATTTTTTTTTGTCATTAGGGTAACCAAAAACATTTTTTTTTAAATGATTTAAAAAAAAAATCATAACTTTTGAATCAAATCAATAGAAGCGCATGGTCTAGTCACATAGGGGTATTGAGCAAAAACCCAAAACATGAAAACTTCAACAAATATAACTCAAGAACAAACAAAAAATGCATCGCTGATTTCGTAGATGTTGTGTAAAACAGCCTCAATTTTCAAGGAAAAACATAAAAACATATTGCGCCCTCTGTCTACAAACCACGAAAACGATAAAAAAAAAAAAAACAAATACAATCAATGTTTCTATCCAAAATCCTAATTTTTAAAATATTAGTATATAGGGTTAACTACCCCATTTCCAGGCTATTAGGCACAACCCGCACTTAGTCTTTCTTAATCTAGCGTAGTTTAGCACCAAACGGAATGTTATTATTACTGATGGCTTCTAAATTTATTTACCTTTCCGTACGTAAGGTAAGATTTGATAAAAAGAAACAAATTGTTGAGGTATTGTTAAAAGTCTAACACTGCTTCTTGACGCCAAACTCGGCCTACGGATTCTAAACTAGGCCTAACACATTGAAACGCCATTGAAACGCCAATGAATTCACTTAGGCCTATCGGATGAAGATGAAGATAAAGATAACGATTGATTCGGTCGGAGCGTTTCAGTTGTTTTTGAGAATATTGAGTGCAAAAATTCATATCACGCGTTCTTATTGACTTCGTTCGGTAGCGTTAGTA